AAGGATGCAGGCACAGGCTGGGAAGGGCTTGGGGTCCCAGAGAAAGGAACAGGCAGGACCAGACCTCCAGCAAGTATAAGACACAGCCTGAGGGCACAGTCAGAAGTAACACCTGATGTAGCCCCTGGCATTAAAACCACACATGGAGGACTGTCCCATCAAGTCAAGACAAAGTCTCCCAGCCATGGCACAAAGGATAAGTAGGACAGGCGTATTTGCTGGGGGGTGCGGAGGGGGGGCGGCATCCTAAGGACTGGCAGTCCAAGGCTTTAACATTCTCCCTGGCTTCTACCCTGAGGCGGAACAGCACCTGCTCCCCAAGCTGTGGCAAGCAGAAATGTCCTCATCCCACCTCACCGCCCTGGGAATGAAGAGGGTGACACTGTCCTCTCCACCCTCTCGCCCTGGGAATGAAGAGGGTGACATTGTCCTCTCCACCACCCTCTCGCCCACCCCCCCCCCCCCACCCCCAGCCTGAAAACCAGGAGAGGCTCTTCAGGAGCATTTATAATGTATCAATTTGCTTCTTTCTTTGCAACAAATTTGCAACTGACAAGTTAGAGGTTAGTAACCTGGGAACCTGCAAACCGGGTTGAAAAATAAACCTAATCTTCAGTACATTTCAAATTGATGTAAAAATCAAAAGCTTAAAAAAAACTTTTTAAAAGTAAGTTTTAAAAAACAGGAGGGGTGACAGATAAGAGGAAACAAAGATTCACCTCTTCCCAAAGCAGGGTGGGGGTGGGTTCCTTCTACAAGGAAGATTGACTGCATTAGGGAAAGGAATCAGCTGAGACCCCTCCTGGGCTCTGCCGGAAATCGCCACTGGACTCGTTCCTCTCCCTGCTGCAGAACTGTCACGATCCCTCTCCTGTCTCCCTACTTAGGCAACCGAGTCCTCCTGCCAGCAAAGGTGACAAGCTCTGGGGTGAGCTGGGTCAGCTCAGCCCGGCCGTCTGGGAATCAACAGCCTCAAGCCGCTGCTACTTAATAAATGCTGTGGGAGTGAAGAGAAACTGGGCACAGACCCACCACACCCCGCAGCCCTAAGGAGGAGGACGACGGGCAGGGGTGTGTTAAGGGATGGTGAAGCCACAGACAGGGCAAGAGAGGAAAGTCTGATGGGCGTCCCTGAGTTCTCAGGGCTGAGACGGGTACCACAGGAGTCTTTGCTGCCGCAGAGAACTGGGATGAGGCGTCTGGTCCACAGAGCGATGAAGCGTGAAAAGACTTAACCATTAATGGGTGCAGTGGCTGCCCAGAGCTTAGGTAGCTTGTTCAAGGTCGCAGGGCTAGTTGCTGGCACTGTCCACAACACAAGAGGCCCGAGGCCCGAGAGAGAGAGAGAGAGAGAGAGAGAGAGAGAGAGAGAGAGAGAGAGAACTGGAGAGCCCGCTTCCATCCGTGACTAAACCTGAGCCTAAAAGAGGCATTCAGCAACTAAGAATAACAGCTACTCTCCACCGGGCGGCTGCTGGCTGCCAAGCCCACACAGAAACCCTCCCCTGATGCCCACATTACGCTCAGGAAAGAAAGAGGGCAGAGAGGAGAGGCATTTGCTAAAGGTCACGGAGCTCATAAACCTCAAAATCTCCCTCTTGCAAATTCCCGGAGAATACTACACCCCAAGAATCGGAGGCTGAACTCGGCAGCTCAGCCCTTGGCCGGCTCTTCGGCAAGGCAGCACCTAAACAAATACACTCCTTGGGGACGATGCGTCCAGCCCCGGCACCCCTGATCATAGATGAGAGAAGGAAGTCCTGGACAGTCCAGATTCAAATGGCAAAACCTGTCCGTTAAGAAATAATTTTTGGCCAGCACATGCTGCCCAAGCCCATGTGGCTGAGCACATGTGTCGCCCGCAACTCCCCTCTTGAGAGGTGGACTTTCATGCTTTCATATCTAATGCTGGGGTATGTGTAGGGGCTCTCTCCACCTTTGGAGAAGCCCGTGTTCTCTCTCTCTCTCTCTCTCTCTCTCTCTCTCTCTCTCTCTCTCTCTCTCTCTTTTTTGCTTTTTGGGTCACACCTGGCAATGCTCAGGGGTTACTCCTGGCTCATGCACTCAGGACTTAGTCCTGGCGGTGCTCGGGGGACCATATGGGATGCTGGGAATCGAACGCGGGTGAGCCGCGTGCAAGGCAAATGCCCTACCCGCTGTGCTACCACTCCAGTCCCTCCATGTTCTCTCTTGAGCACATTACTCTCTTTCACTTTCTCTCCCTTCTTTTCCTTCCTAAAAGCCTCCAGATAAAATCTGTTTTCACTTAAAAAAAATTTTTTTTCTAATGTTTTAAAGGCTGGGGCTGGAGAGATAGTACAGTGGGTAGAGGACTTGCCTGGCACACAGCTGGCCTGGGTTTGTTTTCCAGCATCCCATGTGGTCCCACAAGCCCACCAGGAGCAATCCTGGTGCATAAAGCCAGGAGTCAGCCCTGAGCACCGGTGGGTGTGGCCCAAACAAAGAAAAAAGGCAAAACTGTGTTGGCAGTTTCTTAAAAACTAGACAACTGCCATTCAATCAAGCACGGGCATGGTCCTTAGAGAGATGAAAGTTTATGATCACGCACAACCCGACACACACGTCTTTTATAGGCTGATTCATAACAGTCCCAAACTGGGAAGAACCCAGAGGTCTTCCAATGAGTGAGCAATGGTTAAACATTCAATGCTTCACCACAGGACCAGAGAGAAAGTACACAGGGTAGGGCGCTTGCCGTGCACATGGCTAACCTGGGGCCAATCCCCAACACCCTCATATTGTCCCCCAAGCTCCACCAGGAGTGACCCCTGAGCACAGAGCCAGGAATAAGCGCTGAGTACTTTTGTGTGTGGCCCAAATAACAAGAAACAGAAACTAAAATGTTTTTTCACCATGGCTGGAAAAAAAGGCAATCTGGGGTACATCTACACTAGGAAAGACTATATAATAATTAGAAAAACAACAATATTTTACTACTGTCACTGTCACTGTCTTCCTGTTGTTTATTGATTTGCTCAAGCGGGCCCAGTAACGTCTCCATTGTGACACTTGTTACTGTGTTTTGGCATATTGAATACCCACGGGTAGCTTGCCAGGCTTTGCCATGAGGGCAATATACTTTCGGTAGCTTGCGGGGCTCTGTTGATACAATATGCAACTAAGATGACTTTCCAGGGACTTATGCTTGGTGAAAAGAAAAAAAAAATTCCAGGAGATATGGCTCAATGGGCAGAAGTGTATGCTTTAAATGCAGAAGGACCCTCAGGTCCCACATGAGAGAACCCTCAGCACCGTCAGAAATGAGTCAATTTGCCTCTGGGAACCCCTCAGTAGAGCCCTCCAACAAAAATGAAACAAAATTTAAAGTGCTGCCTCCAAAATGTTACATGCTGCACCACTCCATCTACAGATCACATTTGACTGATAAGTTTTAGAAGCAGAGACCTGATCATGCTTCATGAGAGGAGGAATTGTAGGCGTGGTTACAGACAATGGGAGAGATTGTGCAGAGAACAATTCTGGATTCACACAAACCCCTGTGTGATGCTGGATCCACAAAGCATTAAAACCAAACACACACACACACACACACACACACACACACACACACACACACAAACTCACAAGGCCTGAAAATAAGATCTGTTTGTGGAAGCGATGTCCACATACTTGCTGAGATTCTGTTTCACTGTTCTACAAAATGTTATCATTAGAAACCAGGGTCAAGGATATGCCCAATGCCCTGAGCTCATTCTCACCGTGGCACACAAATATCCAATTACCTCCATTTGAAATCTCAATCATAAAAAAGTCCTGCATGCCCAAAGGCTGGGCTTAGCTCACTTTCTCACATTTCTCTCCTCCAAGCTCCTCTGTCTCCAAAGACAGGCTACTCACCACCAAACCCACACACAGCCACTCATGGAATCCAGATTAAAAATTAAACAGAGCAAAGGAAAACTAAGTAAAGAAACCCCGTTTCATAGTAGCCTGTCTTGCCAGTCACCTTTGAGTTCCTTCACAAAACCATCCCTGTGGGTGACCAATAGTCCTCTTGCTCGCTATTGTTTGAACCGACTTCTGGACAAAGGATGGAAAATAAGATCCAACAAAACGCTTTCTCCAACCAAATATCTTTTCCCGTTATCCCTGCGCCCTTTCTCCACCTCTCCACTCCACACAGACACACACACACCACCACCACCATCACCCACCCACCCACCCTCCCACACACACACACACACACACACACACACACACACACACACACACACACACACAGGAAGAGAAAAATCTATAAAAATTGCTGTTGACGTCCCTGCCTGAAAGCAGCAGCCCGGGTATTCCCCGGCCCCTCTCGCCCAGCTCCCGTGTGCTCAGCGGCTACTCCCAGGACACTCAGGAAACCCCGAGAGAGAGAGAGGGTCTGGGGTTGACCTGAGGTCCAGGTGTGACCTTGACCCGGCGCCCTAAACCTGATCTACGGGGATTCCGTAGCACCTCCCTGAAAGCAGAGGGGGAATTCAGGGGCAGACAGTCAACCGCGCGCCCAGCGCTCGAATTTCACTAGATCTCTCGGGGTTTCCGGAGCAAAACTGGTTGTTTTGTCATCACCTGGCCGCAAAGTTGTCGCTGCCCGCTGCTCGGTGACAGCGACAGATCAACTCCGAGCATCCCCAACCTGGAAACCCTTTCCGATTGCAACCACGGCAAGTCCCACTCGGGGGAGGAAAAAAAAGAAAAAAGGTGAACGGGTGAGGCTGCAGCTCCCGCTGACACCGCGGGGCGCGGGGATCCAGGGTGACCCGCCGCCTGCCCGGCTCTGCAATTGTTGCTTGTTTGTTAGCGACACCTGCCCGGGCCGAGCGCTGCCCCCGGAGTCCCGTTCCAGGCCAGCGGGACAGTCCCGACTCGGAAACTTCGGGGCGCGTCTCTCCGCGCGTGCTCGACCCGCGCGGCGCAGGGGGTCCCGGAGGGGCCGGGTCGGGGTGGGAGGTGGAGGGTGGAGCGGGACTCACCCTCCGTGCTCCTCTTCGCCTCCCGGTAGCGCTCCCACAGGTAGCGTTTCATGTCCGCGGCGGCGCCCGGCGCGGTGCACAGGCGGCGCGCAGGGTCCGCGCGCGGCCGCCCCCGGCACGCGGTCCCGCCGGCCCCGCGCAGGGCGGCCAGCGCTCTCGCCCCGGCCCCACGGGCCGCCGCCGCCGCCGCCGCAGTCGCCATGCTCGCGGCCGCGCAGCTGCCACTGGCGGCGCGGGGGCACGAGCGCTCTGCCCGGTCTGCGGGCGTCTCCCTGCGTCACGACACGTGGCGCGCGACCCGCCCCTTCGGCCGCCGCGGGGCGGGGCCTGCGCGGGGCGGGGCGGGGCGGGGCCTGCGCAGGGCGGGGCCAGGGCCTGCCGGGCGGGGCGGGGCCTAGTCTTGCTAGGCGAAGCGGTTCAGCCCTGACGGGCGGGGCGGAGCCTAATCCGGCCGGGAAGGGAGGGGCCTAGTCCTTATGGGCGGGGCCTGGTTCTGACACGAAGGGAGAGGCCTAGTTTTCCAGGAGGGGCGGGGCCCAGTCCTGCCGGGAGTGCCTGGCCCTCTGGAAGGGGCGGGGCCTAATCCTGCTGGGGAGGAGCGAATTTAACCCTGCCAGGAAGGGCGGGGTCTAGTCCTGCCGCGCGGGGCGGGGCCTAATCCTGCCAGGAGGAGAGCATTTAGCCCTGCCGGGAGGGGCGGGGCCTAAAGCTGCCGGTGGGGCGGGGTCTAGTTTTGCCGAGAGAGGCGGGGCCTAATCCTACCAGACAGAGCTAGTTTAGCCCAGCCCTGAGGGGGTGGAGCCTAGCCTGCAGGGGGCGGGGCCTAGTCCTGTCGGGGAAGCGAGGCAGGTCAGGGTCTGAGCAATTGGGGGGTCAAAGTGCTGAGCCCACTGCTGTATCTTTCGGGTTTTTGTTTTAACCTTTTTTTTTTTTTTTGCTTTTTGGGTCACACCTGGTGGTGCACAGGGGTTTCTCCTGGTTCTGCGCTTAGGAATTACTCCTGGTGGTGCTCAGGGGACTATATGGGATGCTGGGAATAGAACCCGGTCGGCCATGTGAAAGGCGAACGCCCTACCCGCTGTGCCATTGCTCCAGCCCCCTTGTTTTAACCATTTTTGTTGAGGCACCCGGACTTCCAATGCTATTAATTATACTTTTATGTATACATCATTCCAACACCACACCCATCACTGAAGAGCCTGCCTCCCTCCCTCCACCACGGTCCCATGAGCTCCTCCCAGCCACAACCCCTTCCTTGTACCCTCGGTGCTAAAGACAGAATCTTCAGTTCCCTCCTTGGGACGCGCAGTCCCTCCTTGAGCGAGAGGCGCGCAAACTCGGGCTTAGCAAGGGGAAGTGGAGGCCTTGGGTCATGAGACCTGACCCTAAACTGACCGTCAAATCCTCAATTTCCTCCCGCCACCTGTGGCTCGTCCCCGAACTCCTGCGACACTGACCACGTGCCTCTGACTATGGGTCACCCGAGAGGTGTCCTCTTTAAATGCTGATGGCTTCTGCAGTCTGACCCAGTCTGGGATCGCAGGGGCGGGCCTGGATCCTCACCTTGAATGCTTCCATTCGTGCTGGTGATGGGACGGCACCATACAGGCACTTCCTACCCCACAGCCTGCAAAACCAGTGCCCTTCGGAAGAAAGGGACCCGCCACCAGACTCCTCCCTTGTGGGCTCACCTCTGCCCTGAGTCATTGGTCGCTCCTGCAGAAAGGCTGATTGTTGCACACCCAGTAAGACTGAGAATGTCTGAACTGCATAGTCACCATTGCCCAGGCAGCTGGACGGAGAACAGCCGGTGACTCTCATGCTGGGGTCTCTGTCCAGCATGGGAAACCGGGACGCCCCATGGAAAACAAGTAGGTAGAGCTCTACAGAAGACATTAGTCTCCCGGGAAGTTGTGGAGCTAGAAGATAAAGAGATGCTTAATGGGAAAAGGAGGCCTCCTGGGTGAGTGGCAGGTAACCATTCATTTATTGGTGTGCATATGATCATGAACATCCTCAACAACCCCCAGAAGTGGGTGTCATAATCTCTCCCATTTCCAAAATAATGAAACAAAGTGAAATAACTGTCCTGAAGTCAACCCACTGTGCCCATTCTTCCATCCAATATAATAGATATTGAACATTTAAATGAGTGAACATTTAAATGGTTGATAAGGGGAAAGGTAATAAAGGAAAAGGGTATGGGGAAAGATAGCCAACAGGTAATTCTTAAGAGTTAGTGAACCAGGCCAGAGAGATAGCACAGCAGGTAAGATACTTTTGCTTATGGTGGACCCTGATTCAATCCTCAGCACCCCATATGGTCCTCCGGGCACTGCCAGGAGTGATTCCTGAGTGCAGAGCCAGAAGTAATTCCTGAGCATGGTCAGATTTGACAAAAAAAAAAAAAAAAAAAAAAAACGGGGGGGGGGCGGGGGTCGATGTGGAGAAGAGGCCAGAGAGATATTACAAGGGTAAGACAAGCACCCTCTCCACCCCCACATACCACATATGATCCCCAGAGCCCCTCCAGGAGTGAATCCCAAGTACAGAGCCAGGATTAAGTCCTGAGCACAGCCTGACGTGCTCCCCCACCAAAAAAAGGGGGGAGGAAGGGGAGAGGTAACGAGTAATAACTTAGAAATCAATGATGAGTCAACAAAGATGTTTAAAACAATGTCAGGTCCATAGATTCTAGCGGTTCAAACTGACTATAGATTATTTCAATTCATATCTTCTGTTATTTGTGTTTCATTCAAAGAAAGGTTTGGGTCACAGAGGTGGTAAACTTTGCTTAACATGGAAAATGAGTTCATAAATTCAAAATAGATTAAAACCAGAGAAATGTAAAAGTTACCATGAGAGTTTTAGTAACTTTTCTGTGTACTTTTAGATATGGGACATGGTGAGATAAGATTCTTCTTCCTAAGCACCATCAGAAGTGGTTCAAAAGCAGCAAACGAAATCGCTGTATTCCCAGAAGTCTGTGTTCCAGGGGTTATTTCAGCTTCATCCTGTATGCCCTGAAATCTGAAATATAGCCCTGTTGTTTCAAATGACAGATGCTATCTGTCTGACCATGGAGACTGAAATTGAACTTAACCTATTTCACCATCACGATGATATTAGCTCTCTGTGATAAATGACTCTGTTTCAAATAACATAAAAGAAGTATTTTCTATGTACACAAGTAGGTAATATGTGCAAGTGTGACAAGTAGGCATATGCATGCATATAAACAAACTTAAACAAGATTCCAGAATATATATGGAGAGTATGCATGAAAATTTAGTAACCCTATTAAAGTCCATTTTTTTTAATTACTGAATTGATCTTTAGGTCCCATGTCTTGTTTAATCACTTACTTATACTAGATTATTTTGTTGTTTATGACATTCCCATTGAGGTGCTGGACTGTGGTTCCCATTTCCCTTCCTGATGGAAGCTGTGGGGCCCGGGGCAGGCTGCCTGGGACACTGCCTGCAGCTCGACCAGCCCTTGTTTGTTCTTTCCCTGATTCAGGCTATCCTGGGGAGTCTGAGTGGTAGCTCATGTGGCCTGGCCTTGCCGGTCCCCGTTGCTCACGACCCCAAGTGGCTTTTGTTGTGCTTACCGGCCAGGTAAGTGTTTTCTAGTGAAAACAACTGGCTTATATTCCTGTACCCGTCGCTCCCAGCCCCCCAGAATACTGAAGGTATATTGACTCAGCTGTTCTTCTCTCCCAGGGAGCCCAGTGGCCACTCGCAGGGTCAGTGTTCGGCCTGGTGCTCTGACTACCCAGGACCCAGACCACACCTGCAGTGTCGGGAGGGGCCAGGTGGAGCTCATGCAGGACGTGCCCCCGGGCCCCTCTTCTGTTCTTACATCTGATGTGACTCAGTCCTAGTCGAGGTTTTAGCAAAGCAAGTGGATAATACAGGTGGGCACAGATAAGGCTGGGCTGGCAGTAGACAGAAATCTTATTTATCATTAATTTGCTGGCTACTGAATGTAACCTGCCCACACGGCAGAGTCTGGCAAACTCCCCGTGGCGTACCCAATATGCCAAATACCAGTAACAAGGATGGGTCTCATTCTCCTAACTCTGAAAGAGCCTTGAATATGGCACTTTTTAAAAAAATCTCAGGGCTAGGACGAAGGAGACGTTACTGGGGCCTGCTCGAGGCAATCGACGAATAACAGGATGGTTGTGATCTTGTGATTGTGATTTTGTACATTGCTAATATTTGCATAGAGAATTATTTATGAATGGTGGAAATTTCAGTTATACCTTGGTACCCTTTTTTTCTTAAATAATTACATGAGAGAGCCTGGCAAGCTACCAAGAGTATCTCACCCTCATAGCAAAGTCTGGCAAGCTACCCATGACTGTTGGAGTAGAAGGAGCTTAGGTTTATCAGGTTGCACCCATCACAGTGCTCCCAAGACAGTCCCATTTGTTTGTCTGTAACTACTTCTTTGTGCTCTCTTCCCCAACCACTTTGTAAGGTCTCATCCTTCTAGGACACTGAACTTGTGCTGTAAGTTAATATTGCCTTTCTCCTCTCCTTATGTCTTTTGAATAGTTTGCTTTAATGCAATGTCCTTTTTGTATAGATACAGGAAGACAATTAATTAATATTATGCTTTGTAACTTAGGAGTTGATTGACTTTGAATATTATTTACTCCTGGGCATCTGCTTTTGTTGGGATCGGGAGTTCCCTAGCCCTGGGAGGCGCGGAGAGACCAGATAGACACAATTCCTGCAGGAGTAAAAACGGGGTTTATTTAGACCAGCATGCTGGGGCTCCGCAGCATACCCCAAAAACGGGCAGTGGCTGAGAGCCCCGAACTTCTTCAAAGGGGATCTTATATAGGCCTTCACTGGCCGTTACAGCAAAGCCCGCGCAATTCATAGCCAATAGATTTGTAACAACATATACTTTCTTAACCAATCCATTTAAATGTACCTCACTCCTTAGCCTATAGATTCAAAGATCAGCATTTACATACATCGATTGTCAGCACAAGCAAGGTCATAGCTGGAATCATTAGGTAATCTCCCTTGACCATCGTTTTGAGTTACCCAAGTCTGCAGGGTGCTTTAGTGAGACAATACATTCCAGGAAAGGGCAATTTCCCCCAACCACCCACATCCTGAGTTATCCTTTACCCAAATCTGCAGGGTGCTTTACTGAGACAATACATTTCAGGGACAGTAAATCACTTTCCAAGTC